GGTAAGTACATGGGATGAAAAGTTCAGTCTTCAGAGTTAGATAGATGTGCCCACTTTGTATATGTCTTGCCAACCCCTTCTGGTCTGTAAAGTTTCTAGAAATCATCTGACAGTCTTTTGGGAGCTCCCTTGTAGGTGACTAACTGCCTTTCTCTTGCTGCTTTTAAGATTCTCTCTTTGGCCCTGGCCTGTTTGTCTCAGTGGTTAGAGCGTTGGCCCATGGACCAAAGGGTTGCAGTTCGATTCCTGGTCACAGGCATGTACCTAGTTGCAGGTTCAATCCCTGGCCCTGGTAAGGGCACATGTGGAAGCAACCAATCAATTTGTCTCTCTCACATCAATGTCTCTCTCTCTCTCTCTCTCCCCCCCCCTCCCTTCCACTCTATCTAAAAATCAATGGGGGAAAAAAAAGATTTTTTCTTTGTCTTTAACCTTTTGCATTTTAATTATGATGTGTCTTAGTGTCAGCCTCTTTGGGTTCATCTTGTTTGGGACTCTGCACTTCCTGGACTTGAATGTCTATTCCTTCACCTGGTTAGTAAATTTTTCTGTCATTATTTTTTATAATATGTTCTTATTAGTTTTTAGAGAGGAAGGGAGAGGGAAAGAGAGAGAAAGAGAAACTTCGATGTGAGAGAGAAACATCAGTTGGTTGCCTCCTGCATGCACCCTGACTGAGGATCAACAGGCAACCTGTGTGCCCTGACTGGGAATGGGACTGGAGACCCTTCGGTGCACAGGATGAGGCTCAACCCACTGAGCCAAGGCTCTGTGATTTTTTTAAAAATAGGTTTTCAGTTCCTTGCTCTTTCTTCTCTTTCTGGTACCCCCATGATGTGAATGTTGATATGCTTGATGTCCCATAGGCTCCCATTGTGTAGCCCCAGCTCACCACAAAGGTTGGAAATTTTCTCTGTCCAATACATGGCCCAGGCCTTTTTCTGGTCCTCCCCTTTTCCAGCGTTTATTGTAGGTGGTTTGTAGTAACAACATGTGTAGTTGGTTCCAGTGTACAGTTAAGCTTTGGAATTTGGGGGTGTATAATGGAAAAAAGACATAAGCCCCTCATTCTGCGAGTACATCTGGTCACCATTGTGGCCAGATTCTAGTCTAGGTTAACATACTGAGCCAGTCTTATGTATGAAGCACTATTTTAAGCACTTTATTTGTATTATCTCACTTAATCCTACCCTATGAAGTAGGTAACTTATATATTACTCTCTTACAGGTGAGGAAACTGAAGCACAATGAGGTTAAGTGCCTGGAATTTGTTGCATGTCATACAGCTAAGGAAATAACAGCCAGGATTCAACTGTAGCTTTTAGCCACTATGCTAAAGACAAGGTTATACAGATTCTGAAAACTAGTCAATATGAAGAACCACTGAAATATTACAAACAGTCTCACCTCCTTTTTAAAAAATTTAACCACATGGGATATTTTTTTTTCTTTTAAGTACCAATTTGGTTTCTTCTAGATGTGTGGTAACAAAATTCAAGATGATCAAATTACTACAACAGTAATAGAGAACCATTATTTCACAAACTAAATGTTTAATTAAATGTGTGAACAGTGTTTCTTTGACTTGCTGGTTTCATGTTGTTAAATTGTATACACTGAGGCAGCTGCTGTTCTGGCTCCAGCAGTGAGCAGGCTTTTATTTTTCAAATGCAAGGACTATCTATCTATCTATCTATCTATCTATCTATCTATCTATCTATCTATCTATCTATCTATTATTTTTTAATCCTCACCCGAGGACATTTTTCTATTTATCTTCAGATAGAGTGGGAGGGAGAGAAAGGGAGAGAGAAACATCGATGTAAGAGGGTCACATCAACTGGTTGAAAGGCAAGGACTTTTTAAAAATGTGAGGCCCAGCCGGTATGACTCAGTGGTTGAGCATCAACAGATGCACTAAGAGGTCGCCAGTTCAATTCCCGGTCAGGGCACATGCCTGGGTTCTGGGCCCGATCCCCAGTGGGGGGCATGCAGAAGGCAGCCAATCTATGTTCTCTCTCATAGATATTTCTCTCTCCCCTTCTCCCTTCCTCTGTCTCTATGAATAAAGAAAAAAAAAAGTGCATGATTGTGCCCTGGCCGGCTTGGCTCAGCGGTTAGAGCATCGGCCTGCGGTCCTGAGAGACCCGAGTTTGGTTCCCACTAAGGGCATGTACTTCAGTTGTGTTTGCCCCTGGCCCTGGTTGGGTCGTGTGGGTGGCAACCACTCAATGTGCCCTTTCACGTCGATGTTTCTCTCTCTTCCTCTCTCTCCCTCCCACTCTATCTGAACAAAAATTGGAAAAAATAAATAAAAATGCGTAATTGTTTTGCATAGCTTTTCGCCATGTTTTTTTCATACGCACTGCATTTAATAGGTGTTGGAATCAGCCTTGGCGTATTGGGAACAATATTCTAACCAACTGAGCTATTCGTCCAGGGCTTTTCCTAGGTTATTATTCTCCAGTCATCTGAAACATGAAAATGCGAATCTGATCACTCACTTGCTCAGAGCCCTTCAATGCTTTCTGTTACCCTCAGGACAAACCAGCTCCTCCGCACGGAATTCAGGCTCACCTTGTTTTATTGAGCTTCACCAAAGTTGCCTTTTTATTTATTTTTTACAATTTGAAGGCAAGACCATTTGGCTAAAAGATTACAACTCACTTTTTTGTGATACTTTGTTGCAGTGGTCTGGAAAAAAACCCACAATATCTCCAAGGTATGCCTCTACCAGGTCCTCGGCAGACCCTTCCCTCCCATTTCCTATGTCTTCTCAAACTTTACAACCCAGCAAAACCTAACACTTTGCCACTCCCAGCACTCCCCATGCTTGATCATGCTCCTGCACCTTGACTTGGAAATAGCTATTCCCACCATTGCATTTTTTAAGATATCTTTGAGTTTTTTTAGGGAGAGGAATAGAAACATGTGAGAGAGAAACATCAATCAGCTGCCTACTGCATGCCCTTACTGGGGCTCAAGCCTAAAACTGTCCCCCTCCCCACGCCCCTGCTTGCCCTGGCATATGCCTTGACCCAGAATTGAACTGGTAACCTCTTGGTGCATGGGACAATGCTCAATCCACTGAGACAGCTGCTGGGCCCACCACAGTGTTTCTTAACCTGTTTCACTTCGACTCAGTTTCCAAGATTTAGCTTTACTTAGCTCAGGTATCAGCTCCAAAACACTTTACCCTGAGCAACCAGGTCAGGTTAAATGTCGTCCAGTGTCATCTCAGGGCCCACTGCGCTTCCCCATGGAGCACATAATGCCTGCCTATAGTTCTCCTGAGCTGTCTTCATCCCCAGCATAGAGATGCCCCCACCTGATAGCCTGTGCAGGCAGGACAGACAGGTCCTTCCACTTCTGCACTAGTGACTTCCTCACTCTAGTTCTGCCTGCAGGTTGGCTAGGCACGGAATGAACTGTGTTAACTTCTGTTTAATTTGTAATTGGTGGGATCACTGGGGAAAAGACCAAAAGGCTACAAAGATTGGGAATAGGGTGATTTTGCTCAAACCATCTCATATTTTCCTTTCCGCCCCCGCTGGAGCGGTAGCCAGAATGAAAGTCAGGATGGAAAGGATGACACCAGTCCAGGAAGTGCTAACCTCATTGTTGCCTACACAGGGCAACAGTGAAGAGCTGGGGCTCGAGACAGCTCGCTTGGGTTCTCTCTAGACATTGATGTGCTGCTGCCTGCTGGCATGACTTTGGAAGCTACTGAGCATACATAGTAAACAGACCACCTTCTTAGGTTCTTGTGAATATTAAAACCCGTAAAGCATTTTACACAGTGCCTGATATATTGTCAGCACTATGCTGTGCTTTGTGTTTACCTGCACCCCCCCCCCCCAAACACACCTAAAATAGAAGGCAGTGCAAGGATAAAATTGGGTTTTAAACATCTGAGACAGCACTGGCTGTTTTTGCTCAGCGGTTAGAGCATCGGCCCGTCGACCAGAGAGACCTGGGTTCGGTTCCCACTAAGAGAAGTACCTCAGTTGCAGTTTGTCCCCGGCCTCAGTTGGGGCCGTGTGGGTGGCAACCAGTCGATGTGAAAGAGACACATTGATGTTTCTCTCTTCCTCCCTCTCTCCCTCCTGCTCTATCTGAAAATAAATAAATAAATGAATGAATGAATGAATGAATGAATGAATATTTTTTAAAAAAGAATCTGAGATAGGCCCTGGCAGGGTTGCTCAGTTGGTTAGAGCATTGTCCGGATACACCAAGGTTACAGGTTCAATCCCTAGTCAGGGTACATACAAGAAACAATCAACAAATGCATAAATAAATGGAACAACCAATGTTCTCTCTCTAAAAAAAACTCAATTTAAAGAGACAGACAAACAGACATTTTTCAGTCAGCAAAAGAGAAAAGGTGCTTTAGGTACACTTTCTAAGCTGGGGAAAGAGGTGGCTATCCTCAGCTGGGATAGGGGTATGCAGAACCCCAAGAGGTCAACTGGAAGTAACCTGGATGAACCAGTAAGTTAGTTAACAATCAAATCCTAACCAGCTCTGTGGCTACAATGCACATGACAACCAGAGAGCAAACATGCCAAATGGAATAACTGGAGGGTAATGCAAACTTTGGTTTATAATCTTGTATATAAACTATGAGGACAAGAATGTTTTTCACCAATGATTCCTTGCACCCAGACTAGAGCCTGGCCACAATGGTGACCAGAAGTACTCGCAGAATGAGTGGCTTATGCCCTTTTTCCACAGTACATTCCCAAACTCCAAAGCTTGGCTGTACACTGGAACCAACTACACATGCTGTTACCACAAACCACCCACAATAAATGTTGGGAAGGGGGGAGGACCAGGAAAAGGCCTGGGTTATGTATTGGACAAAGAAAATTCCCAACCTCTGTGGTGAGCTGAGGCTACAGAATGGGTGCTCAAGTGGGGACCTTGTTTTCTACTCCCACTCGTAAGCCCTCCAAGCCCCATGTTTAGCTGTAGTCTTTAATTTAAAACACATTAACACCAGGAAAGGCTAAGGAATTTTATTATTATTTTTATTTTACAAATTAAGACTGTAGATTTCATATATTTCTGATCAAAAACACCTCTGTCTTCACAGTATGAGTTAGAGAATGCAGCCTGAGCTGAAAACCAAGGAACTAGAAAAGAAAGTGATAATTACAGTGATTACTGTTTTAAAAACCTGTTAGACATTTTCTTTAAAAGTAGTTTTTTTGTTTTTGTTTTTTTATATCTTGTCATTCTTGGCACTGTTTCTAAAGAAAAACTCCTTTATCCCAAGCAAAAAAGCACAAGAGGTGGAGTTTGGCTTCAAGAGATGTAACTCAGATTCTCAGACCTAGCAGAGAATCAACAATTTTATGGAGTTGCTATTGGAGTTTAATGGGAAGGAAGTCCCTTTAGTAAGTTCTCAAGCCAGAGGCTGGATGCAGCAGTTAAATCAGAGGGCAGCCTCCTCCATGGAAGTGAGTCATTCTGGGCAGCATGCCACCCTAGGAATACACACAGCCTGGGAACAAATCTTTTAATGGGATGGCACAAGGATACAGTGCACTGCAAATTAGTAGCCCCTGGGCCATACTGTGTACTGGCTGTGAACAGGCAGAGCCAAAAATGGTATCCTACTGGCAGGGAGCTTCCAAGGGCTCAGTCCCCTTACACTGAAAGCCTTGTGAGTAGCCAGAGCCACAATGCTCCCAGGTCCGCCCATCTGTGCCAGCTGACTGTGCAGCCCACAGGGAAGGAGATAGTGATGCCCATTAGCACTGCCCTCCCTCTACTTGCAACCACAAACCTGCAGATTTATGGAAATAGGTGCACAGCCAAAAACTAAATGCATGTGTAAAATAAACATTTATCTCCTGCCCCAAATTTCTGGCTTGACTCTACCTATTATCAGATGGGACGTTACCAGACAGGAGATAACAAACATGCACCAGAGGACTGCTATGAATGCTGCCTCCCAAGTCATCACAGCCCCATTCTGTTGATCTGAACAAAGAACCACTTGGTAGAGGGGATTTTGTTCCAAACAAGTCCTTATCTAGGTTTGTTGGGCGGGATTAGTTACAATTACCGCCCAGAGGCTCAACTATTATGCTTCCCTATTGTTCCCCTCCTGGGATCTTTAATCACAGCTATCTGGTAGAGGCCACTCAGTAAAAAAGGTGATAACCAATAAAAAAATAAAGACCAGAGGAAATTTGGGAATTCTAGGCTCTACCTTGCCATACATAATCAGCCATTTAATAAGTGCCTGACAAGAATTAGTCTCCCCTTTACTGAAGTCCTCCCACCCCAAGGATGGAAAGCAGGCGGATTTCCTGAGGGTCAGACAAGGGACAGGAAAGAAAACACACATAAATCCACATTCCTTTTATGATGGCAAGGCCGAAAGGTGTGTTTGCCAGACCAGCAGCGACTTGGGCAGCTCAGAAGAGGCAAAGCATCCACAAGAGGAGGCTCTTCATTTTCCTTGTACGGGTAGACAGAAGCTCAGGTATTATGAACCTGAGCAACAACGGAACCAGCAAACTTCCTTCCAAAGGAAAACACACTGCCCAGTCCCATAGGAACCGCGCACCAACCAAACAGTGCTGAGGAAGGAAGGGCTGAGTGGCTCTGTCCAACAGTTCAGATCCACTGGGTACAGCTCAGTCGGAAAGTAGACCCCTGGAGTTGTCTCCCTCTGCAGACCCCACTCCTCATCACAGTAAACCAGCTGCCTAAGCAGAGGAAGAAGCTAGGGATGGGGATGGCAGAAATGGAAGTGGGGAAGAACTCCAGGAATATGAAGCCAAACTCTAAACTATTATTCTGCTAATCAGTTTTTTGATCAAAAATTTCAAAATAGAGAAAACCATGAAGTACAAAAGCTTTTCTGATGCTTTTCATTATCACAGAACACGCCACCTGTAATGTGTGCAAAGAGAAAATGAGAGGGTGGAGGAAGAAGAAGCCAAAGTGGGAAAGGCTGGATGGTCACTTCACTTTTTCTCTTTCTTCTTGTCCTGGAAATGGAGAAAAATTATCCAATTAATTTTTGATATCAGACATTCAAACTAAAACTCCTGAGTGAGCTGCCTTTGGTTAGGGATCGAAAGGGAGTAGGACAATAAAAAGAAACAAGGAATGCTCCTTTAGTACACAGCAGGTGGTCCACTGGTGGTCTCCCAAGTTGCTGATAGACTTGACGAGAATAAACCTCAAGCAACTATTCCACTCCCACCCCGAGTACCTAGGTGGGCTGCCAGACCACTCTTGGCTACTTACAACCACCGCAGCTCAGTGAAGGCTGAGGTCTGGCAGGCTACCCTAAAAGAACTAACTAAACAAGAAGAGGTCAAGACCAAGGCCTAGGCTGCAGATTCAATCCCTGGTCGGGGCTCATACAGGAGGCAACTGATTGATGTTTCTCAAAATTAATAAAAAAAGCATATCCTTGGGTGAGGAAATAAAAATATATATATAGATTAAAAAAAAACAAAAAAACCCTAGCCAGTCTGACTTAGCGGTTAGAGTGTTGACCAGAGAGTCCTGGGTTCAGTTCCCACTAAGGGCATGTACTTCGGTTACAGTTTGTCCCTGGCCCTGGTTGGGGTCGTGTGGGTGGCAACCACTTGATGTCTCTCCCCCACATCAATATTTCTCTCTCTGGCTTCCTCCCTCTCTCCCTCCCGCTCTATCTGAAGATAAATGCAAAAATGTCCTCGGGTGAGGATGAAAAAAAAAAAGACTAAGGCCAAGGCCAGCAACTTTCCATTAGGCCTGAGAAGGAAGCACAAATCCTAGGCATACACCAACACTCAGAAATATTCTAGTCTACAGAACTCTTGTGTCAATCTTAGGTGGAAGCCCAGTGTGGTAAACAAATAAAAGAGGAGTTGCTTTGACTGAAACTAGGACACCTGTGTGGTACTCAGTCCAAAGGTGGCACAGACCAGAGAACCACCAAACCCATCAAGTCACCTGCGTCCACCACTACACTACTGTCTTGTTCCACAGTAAGGACTGTGAGAAAAAGCTTATGGTTTCACTGTTCCCCTGCTGCTGTAGTAGACTCTGTTTGACATTCACTAACCACACACAGAATGCTTCTCTGGAAAAAAATTAAGACCAATAAATGGATAAATTCGTCTACTTCTGAAATATATTTTCAAAAGCTGGTTGCCAGTATTATATAAATCCTCTTGAATATCCTTTTCTAGTCATAACTATCTTTATGGCCTTTAAATTCTTCGTATAGTGGACTGCTGCCATTGAAGCTCTTTTCCCTTTGATACTAATCTTAGGAATTCATTTTTTTTTTAAAAAGGACTGTTTTTACTTGTTCTTTTTTCTCCATTAGCTAAAGACTTCAGGTTTACTTCGTACTCAGTGGCCTGCCTTACATAACCCTGGGCCTACACAGTGTGCAAGCAAGTTTTCAAATCTGAAGTCTACAGAGATACCAAGCTCTGGAGCTCTTCCCCCATCTCCGGGTAGTGGGCTAACTAACCTTCTCATTCATAGCCAGGATCATCATGAGTTTTCTGAAGAGAGTAACGAAGTCTAAGAAGAGGTCAACGCAGTGCCTGAAAGAGAACCAAATCACAAACTGCACTTCCTACTTTCTTTTACACAAAGATGAAACACGCAAAACCCCTCACCCCATGAAACAGCTTCACCAACACTCCACCACCAACAGAGGAAGTAAAACTGTGCCTGAAATCCTTTCAACTCTATGAAACCATGTAGCATAGAGAAACTGGGCTTTTAACTCTGCAGAGGCCCAACTCTGAACCCTGAACCATCACTGCTAACTTTGAGAGGATTTCAACATGAAAATAAATATTTTAAAATTTATATGTATATCTTCTCATTGTTAAAGATTTAAAGAATATAAAAGTATAAAGAATAAAAAGTGAAAGGTCCCTTCTCCTCTGCCTAGAGGTAACCACTACTAAAATGTGGATACATAAATACATATTAGTAATTCAATTTTTAAAAATCTGATGTCCCTCAGGAATTGAGAGAAACTATGCTATTTGGTACATAATTCCAAAACCATGGGAATCCTCCCACATACATCCCAAAACTTGGCCACATAAGTTCATCCAGGTCTACTCTTATCCCTACTAATGTGGACAGAAAGGTGGCTCAGGCAAAGGACTGTCCCTAGGAATCAGAAAACAGTTGCAGAAGGGAGTAGCATGCCTAACACTTCATTCTTGTGAAAGACTAATTTTCACACTCACCAGATATAATCCTTATCTCCATTTTCAGCCTTTTCAATAATGAGTTGAGTATCAAAAAGGACAAAGCCACACATGACCATCAGCCCCAAATACAGGTTTGCCTAACAAAAGAATGAGATGAGGTTACCATCTGGTAGACACTGTAGAGAAAAAAGCCACACTTCTTTCTGGCTCTTGGCCACTTGAAAGTACATCAAATGTTAATCCCACTGACATTAGCATTCATGGGAACTGAAGCCTATGACGAAGACCACATTACTTCCCTCAGAACAATTCTGTACTAAATGTTTTGGTCACTGAAAGAGATTGAATCATTTTAACAAGGAGCTGCTGCTGGACTGGCCTTAGAAAAATTATCTCTGAGTGAACCATCGTCTCCTTAGCAATGTGCAACCCCTGTTTAATCTGAACCTTTACCCAGGAGGGTTAGTGGGGAGGTTTCAAGAGCACTACCCAACACAGGTGAGCATTCTGGAGGATTCTTGGTCTATCTTGCTTTAGGATTAAGTGAGAAAAAGAAGTGTGAGGCAAATGGCTACTGAAAAGTTATATGCATAGTCTCACCTGGAAAAGCCAAACGGAGCCAAAGAAAAGATTTCCCAGGGAAGACAAGAGCATCAGGCTCATAGCTGACATCAGGATACCTATAAGAAATGATAAAAAGCAGTCTTGAGAGAAGCCAAAGTAAAGTAAAGCAACCTTGCTAAAGCCATTCCTTACATTCCTCTCCATTGGGTTGGCTTTCTCCGTCAACCCAAAAGTCACAAGAAGTTGGGGGTGGGGATGGAAGTAGGGAAATAGATCTAGCAAGAATCCTAACTAACGCAGAGACCCTCTGTTTTCCATTCCATACTTACCTCCCAAAAAGAGGTAACTCCGGCGCCTGGCATAGAGTGCACTCAGGGTAAAGCAGGTGAAGATCATTGCTGTGCCCATGAAGGCAGTGGGAAGGATGCTGTTAAGAAAAAGACCATTAGATTGAGGGCTACAGGAATATAGTCTATATTTAGAGGTACATTCAAAAAGGTAGAAAGACCTAAGACACTACTAAAATAGTTACCTGGGGTTGATGGCAATGCACAACTCCAGAGTAGGGCCCAGGCCAACTCCTAGAAAACAAAAGGCCCCATAACACATTACTACCATCAATTCTTCAAGAAGACTCTCATCGAAAAGTTGATCATTACTAGCATAGGCATGCCCATGCTCCTAAAAAAGGACAAAACACATGGACTAAAGTAATTAAATCCCTCTACTTTCCTTGTTTTCAAGAAAACTTAAACTTGACTAAGTTATTTATACAGAGCTACAAAATTGTCATCTTAGCTGAAAATCATTGATGACCCCCAGGAGGAATAGAGATTAGGGAAAATGAAACAGGCACGTCAAACATTTTTTAACTAAATTGTTAAGGCTGCAAAACTCTGAAGGGGAGTGATGTGAACCTGTAATGTGGGCCAGATCAGGAATTAGATTAGTAAAAAGATTAAGAGTAAAGCAGAGCCTTGTGGCCAGCAACCTTGTAGTCATGCAGGACTGACTCCCTTTGTAGCAAAAAAGGCCAGACCAGTTCTGCGGGTGGACATGTGCCAATAGGAGGGCACAGCGGCAATCTGTTCCACTCCAACATTTCCTCTACTTTGGCCACTCTCCTTTCTTCTGATTCCACACCTCTTACTTAATACCTTCAAAAACTAACTTTCTCTGATCTAAAAATCTTAATCTCTAAATCCCGGCCTTTCTACAATTTCTTTAACATGGTATAGGTTAGACTCACTCAGAACAAGTTGTACTAATGCAAATACTGCTTTGCAAGTATTTTTATTGTGTAGCTTTAGTCTGGTTTCCCTTAATGATAATTCTAGAAATGCTGTGCTTTTCATTATTTTCTTGAGAATCAGCAAAGGGCCCTGTGTGATGGCTCTCAATGTATGGCTTTAATTAATTATCTGTAAGGTTCAGAATAGATGAGTGCTTCTGTGATAGTTGCAGTGTGAGTCCAACTAAGTCAGATTTTTGGGCCTTGTTCAGTCCTATGTCTACCATTTATAAGTTATGCTACCTAAGCTCTTAAACCTCATTCATTCAAGCACACAAATGCTTACTTTTGGATACAGAAGTAGACATCATGGTCACTAGTCACTTATCCTCTGGATGAGGATAAGAAAGCAGCACAAGGCAAAACACATTCAAATATAAGGTTGGATAGTAAATATACCAGTTGGGGTGAATCAGAATAAATACAAATCTCACACCCTAAAGAGACACTAAAAAATATAGTCTCCACCCCTCCAAAATTAGACTAATCCCTTAATATACCTGTAAGGAAAGCAAATCCAGCAAGAAGTCCCAGTCTTTTTTGCTCAGTTTCATGGCTATGAGGTGTTGTCATCAGCCAAATCATCAATCCCAGGGAGCCCAGGGCAGAGAGCAGGCCAGCCTGTGAGATCCAGAGTCACAACTGAATACTTGAAAGTATCAAATTTATTTTGCAGGAGACTTTATTAGATTCAAATATTCATCTGAACTTCCTAGTATTTGCTTCTAACCTGAAGGCAATGGAAAAGGCAGTGGGGCTGAAGGGTCTTCTGGCCTAAGTAGTCCATCAACCACAACTATCCTAGTCGAACTATGAGTCTTACCCAAGAAATAGAAAAAAATGAACCAAAGTGACAAGTGCTGGAATACATTCCAATCTGTAGAAAAAGTAGAAATGATCCCTTTTTGATCTCTTTAAAACACACATAAATACATATACACATACAGAAAAAAAAGACTGGGAGAGCCCAGCCTGTGTGGCTCAGTGGATGAGAGTCAACCCATGCACCAAGAAGTCGCCGGTTCGATTCCTGGTCAGGGCACATGCCCAGGTTGTGGGCCAAATTCCCAGTGGGGGGATATTCTGGAGGTGGCCAATTGATGTTCTTTCTCATCAATGTTCCTCTCGCTCCCTCTCCTTTCCTCTCTATAATCAATAAAAGTAAAAAAAAAAATTTTTAATTTATATATATATAAAAAAAAGACTGGGAGAGGGTGCTATAGACAGAATGTCTGTGCCCACCCCAAATTCATGTTTAAATCCTAACCCCCAATTATTATGGTATTCAGAGTCAAGGTCTAGATGATTAGGTCATAAGGGTGGAGCCTTCATGAAGGGGATTAGTGTCCTTATAAAAGGGAACCCTGCCCTAGCCAGTTGGGCTCAGCAGTTAGAGCATGGTCCCAAGGACCAAGAGTCACAGGTTCGATTCTGGTCAAGGGCACGTACCTCAGTTACAGTTGGAATCCCGGCCCTGGTCAGAGGCAGCCAATCAATGCGTCTCTCTCACATTGATGTTTCTCTCTCAATCTCTTTCTCCCTCCCTCCCACTCTATCTGAAAATCAATGGGAAAATATCCTCAGGTGAGGATAAAAAAAAAAGAAGGGAACCCTGAGAGCTCCCTTGTCCCTTCCGCCATGTGGGAACACATCAAGAAAATGGCCATTTACAAACCAGGAAGTGGGCCCTCACCACACAACAAATCTGCTAGTGCTTTGATGTTGGACTTGCCAGCTTCAAAAACTATAAGAACTGTTTGTTGTTTAAGGCACCCAGTCTATAGTATTCTTATAGCAGCCTGAAAGGACTGAGACAAAAGGTAAGTTAAGTATAAAAAAAAGTACCAGCCCTGTACCATAAACAGTACAGCATCGGCCTGAGGACCAATGAGTCGCAGGTTCAATTCCGGTCAAGGGGACGTAGCTTGGTTATGGTTTGTCCCTGGCCGGGCCATGTGGAAGGCATTCAGTTGATGTGTCTCTCTCACATAAATGTTTCTCTCTCCCTATCTCCTACTCTATCTGAAGATAAATAGAAAAATATCCACAGGTGAGGATTTAAAAAAAAAAAAAAAAAGAAGTACCAAAACTTAAAGAGCATGTATTTTTGGATGATGGGATTATAGTTATAGATTTACTTATTGTTAGTCTGTTATCTGAATTCTCTACAATGAACATGCCTCAGTTTTGCAAGAAAAAATAAATTCTTTTTTTTACAAAGCAAGTGAGAAAAAGCTATAGGCATTTAAAGAGAAAGAAATCAGCCCTGGCCGTTTTCGCTCAGTGGTTAGAGCGTCGGCTCACAGACCAAAGAGTTGCGGCAGGTTCGATTCCAGTTAAGGGCACGTACCTTGATTTCAGTTTGGTCCCTGGCCCTGGTTGGGTCATGTGGGAGGCAGCCAGTTGATGCGTCTCTCATATTGATATTGCTGCCCCGCGCCCCCCCACTCGAACTGAAGATAAATGGGGAAGTGTCCTCAGGTAAGGATTTTGAAAAAAGAGAAATCAGCCCAGCTGGTGTGGCTCATTGGTTGAGCATCGACCCATACACCAAAAGGTCGACGGTTTGATTCCTAGTCAGGGCACATGCCAAGGTTATGGGCCTGATCCCCAGTGGGGGGCATCCAGGAGGCAGCCAATCGATGTTTGCTCTCATCGATGTTTCTATCTCTCTCCCTCTCCCTTCCTTTCTCTAAAATCAATAAAGAAAAAAATAAAGAGAAATAATTAAGGACATATGTAGACATTGAAGTTCCTTCCTTCCTAAAGGTAGGTATACTCAATTGTTGTTTTCCACCGTAGCTATGTTCTATAAAGTCACTATGAACAATGAATTAGTGAATACTAACAATTGCTCCTGCAGGAAATAAAAGGTTGGGTTCTTGCAAGTCCCCAGTCACAATATTTTCATCAATCAATCTATATGAAACCTTGTTTTACATGTGTTTTCTGTTTAAAGGCACTTTGACATTCATTGTTGATTCATTAACATTGAGCTCACAGTCACAGCACTGTAACTCATGCTGGAACAAAGCTTATCTAACACATACATTTTCTCCATAAGGCACATTGCAGTCTTCTGCAATTAAGAACACAAAGAACACTTTAACACTATGCTTGGAACCATTTTAAACACCAAAATTATCAACAAAAAGCACAAAGAGGAAAAAAAAAGTCTCTCTAAACAGGCCGTAAAAAGGACTATTGCTTACAGTTTGAGAGCTTGAAATAAGGCAGTATGTTGCCTTGTTCAACCTCAGCTGGAACGTGGTGGGTGTGATGGGTAACTCAAAATTTTTGCTACTCTGGGTATGACCACAAATGTCTGTGAAAGTACTGATTTTAGGTTACAAATAAATTTTAGCAAGTAGGTATATTCACCAATAAGAAATCCACAAATAATGAGGATGGCTTTATTTTACATTACTTAAAAGCACCACTCTTGCCTAAAAGGTAGAATATGTTTTAGTCTAAACTCAAGGAAGGGATCAAAGTCCTATCCTTTGAGTATCTAGAATCATTTTTCACACCCCTGCAAGGAAATAACTGAGCATAGGGATAGTTCTCAGCAGTGCCAATGCCAACACAGGCATATCCTTGTACCTAAATTAAAAAGAACACTCTAAAAGGGAGAAATCTTGGCTAGTGAGAGCCTCAGATTTACTGATTAATCCCCAACTGTCCCCCTTCTATTCCTGCTGACCAAACCCAAACTCTCCCTCAACACAGGAAAATGAGTTATTGAAGGGTTTTTCCACTCAACCATGCAGATATAAGTGTATCAGAGAAGAATACGGGTCAAATCCTTAAAAGTCTCAACCCTGCCCCTCCTGATAATTAATCAAACAATCAGTGTTTTGTATCTAAGTACTCCATAGTCATTCAGGCAAAAAAAAAAAAGGAGGAAAAGATAAAAAGGCTACTGTGGAGAAGAATCCCAGCATGCATGTCATGCCTCTCCTCGGTGGGTCGAGATCTTATGTTTCAGCAACACATCATTCAGTGTCAGGGTTAAGACATTCAAAGCTAAACATTTCAGGATCTAGAGAGGACCGAGTTGCCAGAAAATTTAAATGGCTCTACATGCCTTGATTTACAGCCTGGCTTTGGCTGAGTTTAGATGCCAAACTACTGAAAAGGACTAAGGAGGGGCATAGACTTGTACCATCCTGCTGAGCTAGTTTCTTCCAATTACAATTTGTACAACAGCAACTAGGAGAGAAAATTGCTCCTACCTGAATGAAATGAGTGACCACATGGAAATAAGCTCCTGCAGCCGCCACAAACATACAGAGGGCAAAACTGGCATAGACCTTCTTCAGGTGCTGCTGCGTTGAAGGGGTTCTAGGAAAGAATGTTAATAACAGCCATCACTCTTGGACCAATCCAATCTCATCTCTAAGCTAACAATCATTTCTCTCTCTTCTCCTTCCCAGGAAATATTTGAAAGTTGTATTATAATTTTAAAAAGGATGTTTTGAAAATAGGTTAACTAATAGAGAATCTTAAATGATGGAGAAAAGCCAAAAGCCCAAAATTATGGTCACTACCAAAACTAGAATAACTAAATGACTTTCCAGTGACCACGCAGCAGTCCTTAGAATCTGAGTGCTTATCATATCCTCAAGATTCTAGTAAAGTATCATCTTATTTTATATATACAAAAACAATAAACTAGGAAAAAGAAAAACCTGATATGAAAGGAAAAGCAAAGAAACTGTAGTCAAGGTCAAAACACTTACATATGGGAAAATTTTAAAAGCGCATCAAAATTGATCTTCCGATCAAATATGTTCATGATGGCAGAGTCTGGGGGACACAGCCTCCACTCTGTAGAATAAACAATAGAAGGAAGAAAGGTTATTTTAAAGATACAAGTATAGACAAAATAACAACTTTCTTACAAAAAAATAGCAACATACAAATTTGGTAAAATGAAAAGTAATTTAAAAATCCTGCTGTTCTAACAACCATTTTAATTTTATGTATTTCCTTCTAGAATACATTTGTAATCATAATAAACCATTTTATTTACTTACTTTTTTTTTTAATTTCCCATCATTTAACCCTCCTCATAAGCAACCATCTAAAAGGGGACAAAGGAAACAAACTCATCTTCCTCTCCCCAAAGTATTTCATTATTAGAAACTGATTTATATTCTTTCAGAAGGCAATTTGCCCCTTTAAAAGACTGTTTCTTGCCCTGGCCAGTTTGGCTCAGCAGTTAAAGCATTGGTCCATGAGCCAAAGGGTCTCGGATTTGATCCCTGGTTGGGGTCATGGGGAAGTCAACCAATCAGTGTGTCTCTCTCACATAAATGTTTCTCTCTCCACCTCTCCCCCTCCCTTCCCTTCCCTTCTACGCTCTCTAAAAATCAATGGAAAAATATCCTCAGGTGAGGATTAACAAACAAAAAAAACATTTTAAAAATTAAAACACTGTGTCTTCGCCCTGGCCGGTTTGGCTCAGTGGTTAGAGCGTCGGCCTGTGGTCCAGAGAGACCCAGGTTTGGTTCCTGCTAAGGGCACGTACCTCGGTTGCAGTTTGTCCCCGGCGAACAAAAAATGGAAAAGTGTCCTCGGGTGAGAATAAAAAAAAAACTGTGTCTTTGAGAAATTCTCAATTAGCAATCTAGTTAAAGCAACCCAGTCACTGGAACATAAGGTAATTTTGTCACTGCTTCAAGATGCTACAGAATTCCCTCAGCAAAGGTATAGAACCTCAAAGATTAAAAACAAAACTATAAAGGTCTGTACTAAGACTTGAAATTTTTAAAATATACATGTAGAAGCTTTCTACCTAATGCATTTTAGAACCGAACTAAAAAAGGGATTCACAATTCTAAAAAGAGGAAAGTTTCTACCTCCATGAAGAGGAAATTTGTACGGGGATTAAAAAAAAAAAAAAAAAGTTTTTATTGATTTTTTTGAGAGAGAGAGAGATAGAAACATCAATTGGTTGCTTCCAGCACGCCCCCTACTGGGGATCAAGTCCACAACCCAAGTATGTGCCCTGACTGGGAATTGAACCAGGACCTCCTCTCAGTCCACCAGTTGGGCAAGTAGGACTTTTTTTTAAAAACATAATTTCAGAACCATTCCTACAAAAGAGTTGGTATAGTACAAAGAATTCCTGTATAACCATCCAAAGTAAATGTTACAATTTCACTGTATTTGCTGTATCTTCTCTCTCTATATAGCAATATACAACCTTTAAAGTATTTTTTTTTTTTTTTGCCATGCAGACACAATGCCCCTTTACCTCTAGATACTTCAGTGTGTATATCCTAAACACAATGATCAAAATCAGGAAATTTGCCCTGGCCGGTTTTGCTCAGTGGTTAGAGCATCTGCCTACAGTCCAGAGAGACCCGGGTTTGATTCCAGCTGAGGGCATGTACCTCGGTTGCAGTTTGTCCCTGGCCCTGGTTGGGTTGTGCGGATAGCAGCCACTCGATGTGTCCCTTTCACATCGATGTTTCTCTCTCTCTCCCTCCGGCTCTATCTGAATAAAAAATGGAAAAATGTCCTCGAGTGAGGATTAAAAAAAAACAAACAGGAAATTAACACTTATACAATTCTATTTTCTGATTTACAGACCTTATTCAGTCCTTACCAGTTGTCCCGAAGGGCATTTTTATTGATTGATTATAAATCTTCGAGATTCTTCTTAGACCCATAATGCCCCAACCCTTGCAAATTTACAACATAAAAGGGGAGAAGGGGACTAAAACACAAAAGGTAAGTTGTTTGAAAGACAGGCCAACTACTCACACCCATTCAATACAGCACTTAACCCCATACTCAGCAAAATTCATCTGGGCAATAAAAGTTCCAATCCAAAAACCAATTTCCTAAGGAAACCTGGGCCAGTGGAGAGATGCCATTCTTAAGAGTTCAAAAGCACCATTACCATTTGTTTCCTGAGACTCCCTCACAAATGAAACAATTAAAATGGCTAGCTTGCTTTCTGATTTCCTCTTCCCTTTCTCACCATCCCTACTCACCTCAATTCGTTAGTTCTGAGAAGCTGCAGAACCTACTAAAGCTGTTACTCTCATCTCTAAGTCTCAGGGCTCCCGGTCCTCTTGATCTAGATGGTGCAATTATTGCAGGCGGTTGCACTGCCAACCACAGCCTTCCATAACCATGATGAATAATACATCCTCCAGAGAGCACACTTACAGGATGGCAGAATCCAGCACCTGGAAAGTGTCTTTGTTTAACGTTTCCATTAACACCCCTAATGACATCCCTAGACAAAACTTGCAACAGGACTGAAGCAACCTTCAGAGCCAAGTTTCTCAGTGGTATTCTCAACAACGCTAAAGTACCTATTGTTCCCAATTTCAAGAGTTAAAAACGGAGGGGGTTGTAAATACTCAAATACCCAGGGATTGTTAGCCAGAAAGGGGCAACACTCTGTAACCAGACCCTAAGGAGTGGAAACTTAGGAGGGGAGAATGGCAGAAAGTCCTCTGTCCCAATTTACTCTCTGATATTTCCAAGGAGGTACTGACTGCCTCTTTTACAACTGCTGATGGAAAAACCAAAACCATCAAAGGTTGTGAGGGTCGGAAGGGAGGTGTCAAATAGGAATTTCGCCATGATTAAGTGGCTTGTGGTTTAAAACCATAAAAAAATAAATAAAATGAAAAAATAAAACCAGTTTTCCAGCATTACTACCTATTCTAACATTTAAGAGAAACCTGCAACTACCAAATTTCCTAGACGCAAAGATACACAGCAACTTCAATAACAACTCTATTGGGGGTGGGGGTAAGGGGAAGAAACCCAATACAGCACACAAATTTAAGATAACATGACATGCCCTGGCCAGTGTGGCTCAGTTGGTTGGAGCACTGTCCTGTACACTGAAAGGTTGTGGGTTCGATTCCCAGTCAGGGCACATGCCTAGGCTGCAGGTTCATTCCCAGTTGGGGTGTGTAAGGAGAGGCAGCTAATCGATGTTTCTCTCTCCCCTCCCCTTCCTTTCTCTGAAATCAATGAGAGGTGTATACATATTACATATTTTCTGAAATGTTGAAATAAAAGGGGAAAGAGTTGGTCTTGGAATCAAGTAAATATGATAAATTTGCTCTATGTCTGTACCAAACAGACAAGAACTAAGGTGCAGATAAGTAACGACTTAGAAAAACTGTTCTTACAAGTTTTGCCAGATAGACCAATCTTACCAGGTTTCTATCTTAGCCTCAACTAGTTGTGCTCAGAAGCTGTACAGAAAATATATCAACATTTCAATGGTCAATAAACAAACTCAGCTAAACAAGATTACATTGCATTCATAACTCAAAAATAAGCTCCCATACCAAAAGTATTCTCAGTCCCAGGAAGAGTCAGCTCTTAACAGTTTGAGTATTCAAAACTATTAACCAAGTAACAACTCAGCTAACATCCAAAGGGGCCCCCACAGTTAAATGAAAATCATTGTTTTTTTAAAAAAGTATATTAAAATGGTAAATTTTGTTACATATACTTTACCACAATAAAGAAAAAAGTACACTATATGTTGCTTAAAAATTCTTTAATACGCCCGGCCAGTGTGGCTCAGTGGTTGAGCGTTGACCCATGCACCAAGAGGTCGCAGGTTCAATTCAGGTCAGGGCACATGCCCAAGGCTGTGGGCCCAATCCCCAGTGGGGGGCATGCAGGAGGTGGCCAATCGATGTTCTCTCTCATGGATGTGTCTATCTATCTATCTCTCTCCCTCTCCCTTTCTCTCTCTCTAAAATCAATAAAGAAAAAAAAAATTATTTAATTCTGCAGTCCCAACACACATCTAAGCCCATTATAAAACGAATAGTGTTCCAGCATTGGTCTGCCTCACTCTGAATTCCAACTTATATAGAAATCTACAAATCGGATCCTCTCTTCCACTACTCAGTTTTATATTCAACTAATTATAAAATAAGGAGGTGGGATTATTTACACAGAATACAATGAAGACAGTGCCTCTTGGACTCATAAGTAATTTGCCTGTAATTGCATTTGTACATAAGTAAATGTTTAGCTGTTAATCATAACCAAACTCCTTTAATTTGATCCAGAGCCTCAGTTTAAGCCTTTATCCTTAGGAGAGCAGAAATCCCCAAACTTGTCAGAATCTGTCAAAATGTGTCATGCATATACTGCTAAAGCTGTTGGAAGTGTCACCATTCTGTGCCTCCTCTGCCAGAGGCACCCAAAAAACAAAACAAAAAACTCAGTGCATAGCTTTCCCAAGAAAGAAAAACTTAAGTAAAAACACTGTTTTAAGTTAGGTATTCTGTGATCTGGTTTTGTTGTTGTTGTTAATCCTCACCCAACGATATTTTTTCCATTGATTTTTTTTTTAAGAGAAGGGAAAGACGAAGGGGGTGGGGAGAGACTTTGATGTGAGAGAGACACTTCAATTGGTTGTTTCCCACACGAGTCCGGTGGGCATGGGTTGGAACTGCAACCCAGGTACATGCCTATAACTGAAATTCAAACCCGTGGACCAAACACTAACCACTGAGCAAAACTGGCCAGGAGTTGTGATCTGTTTTTGCTGGGGGAGGGAAGAGCAGCAGGGGCATGCAGGAGAAGACAGAGTTTTGTTTATCCCACACACAAAGAATATTCTGCTCACTAAAAAAAAGTAAGGGAAACAAAGGGCTTTTCTCCCTTCAATATCTCTCCTATTTAACACAGCTTTAATCAAGGAATGAAATACAAATGCAAGAAATATGTACAGGTAGCAAAAGTGTGTATTTACCAACCCATCTAACTTGGTCTATTAAACCCTAAAGGAAGGGTATTTTTCAGATATAAAATATAGGTCTTTAACTAATAACTACCCTATTGTGAATCTGAGCATTAACAACTATGAGGAGATATTCTTATCAGTGAACATCAATGTCCAGTATCTTGTTAAATCCATTGTTTTGTCCTACGTATCTTCCTTACCTTTGTCCTAAAACAAAAAAATTATTACGTGCCAGACCTTATATTAAAAAACTTTTCTGGACAGTCTTCACGAAGAGTCCCCGTGGTTTCCTGCTGATTCAACAGTGCTGGGACAGAACCCAGTGCTTGACCCATCCCCCCCAGCCACCTGATCCAGCCACCTGATCCAGCCTTCCGCCACCTCCTCACAGCGCCTCGGATATACCCAAAGACCCCGTTCCAGCGCAGCGCAGCGCAGCCCCTCTCTTTCACCACCCACCATGATGTCCACTGCATCCACCTCGCAGGTGCGCCAGAACTATCATCAGGACTCAGAGGCCGCCATCAACCTCCAGATCAACCTGGAGCTCTACGCTTCCTATGCCTATCTGCCCATGTCTTACTATGTTGACCGTGATGATGTGGCTTTGAAGAACTTTGCCAAATATTTTCTTCACCAATCTCATGAAGAGAGGGAACATGCTGAGAAACTGATGAAGCTGCAGAACCAACGAGGTGGCCGAATCTTCCTCCAGGATATCAAGAAACCAGACCGTGACGACTGGGAGAATGGGCTGAATGCGATGGAGTGTGCATTACACTTGGAAAAAAGTGTGAATCAGTCATTGCTGGATTTGCCCAAACTGGCCACTGACAAAAATGACCCTCACTTGTGTGACTTCCTTGAAACTCACTACCTGAATGAGCAGGTGAAATCCATCAAAGAACTGGGTGACCATGTAACCAACTTGCACAGATTGGGGGCCCCTGAAACTGGCATGGCAGAGTATCTCTTTGACAAGCACACCCTGGGAGACAATGTCGAGAGCTAAGCCTTAGGCTGGCTTCCCATAGCCACGGGGATGACTTCCCTGGTCACCAAAGCAGTACGTGCCTGTTGGAGTTACCTCTACCTTTTCTATAACTTGTACCAAATCATCTACTTACATCTTTTCATTTGTACCATTCCTTCAAATAAAGTAATTTGGTACCCCCCCCAAAAATAAAAAACTATTCTGGCCCTGGCCGGTTTAGATCAAAGGTTTGAGCATTGGCCTAAGGACTGAAGGGTCAGAGATTCAATTCCCGATCAAAGGCCCGTACACACCTGGGTTGCAGATTCAATTCCCAACCCCCATCAGGGTCATGTGGGAGGCAACCAGTCGATGTGTCTCTCTCTTTCCCCTTTTCCCCTTCCACTCTGTCTAAAAATCAAGGGGAAAACATCCTCAGGTGATTAACAACAATTTTTTTTAATGTCTTGGTTGGGTAGCTCAGTTGGTTAGAGAGCCGTCCCTATAGGCCAAGGTGTGGGGTTTGATCCCCAGTCAGGGCACATACTAGGATCAACCAACGAACGCATAAACAAGGAGAATAAGTTCTCCTTCTCGTAAATCAATAAATAAAAATAATTTTTAAAGTATCTGCAATCTATTCTGACACCTATTTAGCACAGTGCATATGAATAAAACATGGCAAAAAGCTATGCAAAACAAAAACAATTATGCATTTAGTGTGCATTTAAAAAGAAATTCTTGCCTTTGAAAATTAAAAGCCTGCTGACTGCTGGAGCCAGAACAGCAGCTGCCTCAGTGTATACTATTTAACAACATGAAACCAGAAAGTCAAAGAAACATTGTTCACACATTTAATTAAACATTTAGTTTGTGAAATTATGGTTATTCATTACTGTTGTAGTAATTTGATCATCTTGAATTCTGTCCCCACACATCTAGAAGGGACCAAATTGATATTTGAGAGAGGGGAGGGAAAAAACCCACCTGGTTAAATTTTTTAAAAAGGAGACGGGACTGTTTGTGATTTTTCAACAGTTCTTTCTATTGAATAGTCTTCAGAATCTGTATAACATTGTCCTTAGCATAGTGGTTAAAAGCATGACCTGCTGCACTTAAATCCTGGCTGTTATTTCCTTAGCTGTATGACATGCAACCAATTTCAGGCACTTAACCTCATTGTGCTTCAGTTTCCTCTTGTAAGAGAGTAATATATAATATTACCTACTTCATAGGGTTGAGGACTAAGTGAGAGAATACTAATAAAGTGCTTAGAATAGTGCTTTATACTCAGTATGTTAACCATTATTGTTACTAGTGTAAATACTCATTACTCTCAAGTAAGTCCTCAGTGTATGTTTATCCCTTTTAAAAGTCTAGTTTTAGAAGACATTTGTCACAGGTCTAATTTACATATGCCCTGTATATTACTTTTTAAAAATATTATTCAATCATTAACTCACAGCTAGCTATATCCTGAAAGCTTAATATTCACCCAAATGAGAAATTAAATGGTATTATGTGTGTGTGTGTGTGGGGGGGGGTCTAAGAAAATGATAAACTGGAATTTAAAGAAACTTGACAAATCTTATTACTGGTTAAAATGACTTTTCTTTAACTGCCATGCCCCTCTTCCGGCACATGTACACTGTACCTCTTGTCCCACTGGTCACAGGCATTATGAGACAGCTTAATAACCACTAAATGATCATCTGATGTGGTAGAAATTTTAATGAAGTAAATGGTCATTAGTTTGATGCTTTCTCGGACACCCCTAGGAGGTTGGTCTATCGGTTTAAGAAATTCCACTTCAACTAGGACTGGGCTTTGACTGTGATCTGAACCCTAAATGTTTCAGCCCCCACCCCACTTGATGTGGGCCAAAATCCCTGGATTAGCTAACACTGAATCCTGTCTCTCTAGGGGACTGCCTTAGAACCAAACCAGTACCTGGAGATGGAATGCCCATTGCCTTCAATAAAATTTTTTGTACCAAATTTTGACACGACTAAATCACTCTCTCTATAACCACAACTGTTTGACAGACACTGAATCATAAGAAGGTCCCAATGTCCTAAATATATCATCATCTTCCAGGCCTGGCTGGTGTGGCTCAGCAGTTGAGCATTGACCTATGCACCAAGAGGTCGCCGGTTCAATTCCCAGTCAGGGCACATGCCCAGGTTGTGGGCCTAGTCCCCAGTGGGGCGCATGCAGGAGGCGGCCAGTTGATGTTCTCTCTCATTGATGTTTCTGTCTTTCCCTCTCCCTTCCTCTCTCTCTAAAATAATTAAACTAAAAAAAAATTTTTTTAAATAAAAAAATAATCATCTTCCAGTATAAATCAGCAATCTCTCCCCAGTTAACACCATGTTTAGCCCAATGAAAGCAGGCAGCCCTGGCCAGTTTGGCTCAGTGGTTAGAGCATCAGCCGCAGTCCAGAGAGACCCGGGTTCGGTTCCTGCTAAGGGCACATACCCCGGTTGCAGTTTGTCCCCTGCCCTGATTGGTCGTGCGGGTGGTAGCCACTCAATGTGTCGCTTTCACATCTATGTTTCTCTCTCTCTCTCTCCTTCTCCCACTCTATCTGAACAAAAACATGGAAAAATGTCCTCGGGTGAGAATTAAAAAAAAAGAAAGCAGGCATAAATTAGGACAAACAGCACATCTACTCCATCCTCATCCTTGAAGCTCTTTTTTCAACTGTTTTGAATTCCAGTTAATTGTGCCAAGACTCTTCTCACACATTAGGTTTTAAGTACCTTCAGAGCAGAGCTTGCATATGAATCAACTTGCTAGCCCTTACATTTAAGCACAACCAGGAGTCTCCAGAGCAAACCTAGATCCTATTATCTATCTAATCAAGAACGTTATAATCTCAAATTGACATTCCCCAGCTGGCTCAGAGGGAGACCTACCTTGAATGGTCATTCAAGTGGTCTTTAGTATAAACAGTCTTTGGAAAACAAAAATGTGCAAAAAAACTACTCCATGAAATTTGATTAGAAACTCTGGGGGAACAAAACAGTTGAGTGGGAGACACTTCTACCAGCTTCTACAGCTAAGTCAAAGTAGCAAAGGATAATTTAGAAGACTGAGCACCAAGAGAATATTCTGTGTTTTCCCAGAGGAGAGCAATACTCTTGGGGTAGTTTATGAAATAAAGTGAAACTCTTCAGGTCAGCAGTAGTACGTTCTATAATACCACTGACTACATTTGTATAAAATTTACAACTTTCAAAGTGTTTTTCTATACATTATCCTTACACCAATACATGAGGGAAGGGCAAGAATGATTAATCCCACTTTAAAGATTAAAAAGAATGCCCAAAAAGGCAGTGTAATAGTGGCACAGTAATAGTGGCACAAGCTCTGGATTTGGAGTCACAAGTCCTATCATTTTCTACCACACAATTTTGGGAAAATCATTTTACCTATGGTCCTCTAGGCTTTCTCATCTGTAAAATAAGGATAATTAATACCTGCTCTAATAAAACAAGAAAACCTATGTGAAGTAATTGTAAAGTGCTAAACAGACATTAGTATTGACTTGACCAACATCAAAAAGTTAAAATACTATTTGCAGAGTCAGATCCAAGTTAGGGGTCTTCTGACCTCTAAAGTCTAGTACATACTAAAGTAGAAAAGCAAGTGTTCATTAAGGCAGTTCCAGGAATAGATCAAGAGAAATCTTTTTTTAAAAAAATTAACATATGCTGTTTCTTATGACACTTTTCTGTATTTTTAGCATTTATACAATAAGCATGAACTATATCCATAGCAAAAATATATATAAAAATGCTGATTATGTAAACCAATTTTATCCTTCCTATTCTTTAGGACAGTAAGACTTTAGTCAGATCGGTAGTAGAGAAGGGAAGAAAGTGGGTACTAAGCCATGTTTCCACAAGATGAATAATTTAAGAAGGAAACTTTGACTCTAAATTACAGATTGCATTTCTCAAGAATTCAACCATTCTGTCTCCACTGAAGGAAAATGGCAGAGAATCTAAATATCAACCTAGTACTTAGGCCAAAACAAAAAATATCCGACAAAGAGGAATAAGAAAACATCAAAGACAGTAAACCTAATAATTACAGAAATAAGTGTGTTCGCAGAAGCCATAAGAAATGTGGTTATGCAAATGGAAAAAAAATCTGTCTTGAACTGAATTCTTAAACTACACAAAAGATAAAATAGAAATAAATACTAATAAGTAACTAGAAAAGCCCGTTCTCCGTTAACGTTTAATCTTACAATCTTTGTGTCTCAGGCAGTCAGCTCTTCTACTGGGTCACAAGTTAACTATTGCTGGAACACAGTCTCAAGTTCAGAGGTTTCTGTCCTTGTTTGGGGTGGGCAGTGCAACCCGGGCTGGCACAGGATAGCAATTCCACACTTAATAAACACACAAAAATACCACAGCCTACTTATTACCACAGCTCCTGCAAGCAGGTCCCAGAAAAAAAGCAACGCCCAACGCCGACTTGCCTAACCGGACTTTGAGAAAGACGCCCACAAGGTTCTGGACTAAAGAAAGCCAAGCCAACTCACCTGTCCAAAGGTAACCAATTAGACCAGAGCGGGGTGCCCTGTGGGGCTGGAAAGCTAAGCCCCGATCTCTCCACGCCTCCCACTTCTGCTGTTGTTTTGCACGTAACTAAGAGGCCTCGAGTGTCACAGAGGAGTGTGACATCACCCGCCCCGCCGTGACAGGGCAGCCTGCCTGACCAGGCCCTTCTCGGACCAGGCCCCTGCCGCTCACGCAGCGGCGCCCGGTCAGAGAAGGTCCTCTGGCCCGTGGAAGAGCAGTGATCGGTCGGGTAGGGCAGGGGTGACCATAAACCCGTGCGGTTTCGCTTTCATTCCCCTCGGAAGGAAGGGGTGGGGGACGTGTCCTAAATTCCAGACGGGCCTGGGCCAAGGGGCCCTTGCGCCTACTCTAGGCGGAGGGAGGAACGCAAACCAGGAGGAAGGAGGCAAGGGAGGCTAAAAAACAACTTTCGCTAGTGCTCCCAAGCAGAGTGGGCGCCTGGACGCTCCCCAAAATCTGACTTGCCCCTGCCCCTCCCCCACTCCTGTAGTTGCGCACGCGCGGGACCAGTTCCTCGCTTCCCCTCCCGGCCCAGCCTTCCGGAGTCCGGTCACAGAGCAGCGGCCTTTTCCCACAATCTGTCAGAAAACGGAGACTACTCCCATTCTCGTTCAGACAATAACTGCTAATCCCGCTTGGGTTCTCCACTACCGGCTTGCGCAATTCTCGTTTCAGACGTACCTTCTTAACCGCCTCTCCGGAGCCCACCAAGCTCTTTCAACACCGGATATGCTTCTGACTCTCCCAGGCTCCGCTTGGGACTCTTTACCCTGAGTCCGCCCCTCCAAGGAAGCCCCGCCCCCAAATTCCTTTTAGGACCAGTCCTTATTGGCCGTTGGCTGCTTCTGCCATGTCTTTAGCCGTACATGCATGAACTTCGGCCGCTTATTTCAGACCCATTCGCTATCACCCTTGTCAATCAAATCCTTGACCACCAACCGGTGTCGTGGAAAAGGTCTCCGCCTTCTTCCCCTATAGTAAGAAAGGATTGCTGTCTAAAGCCGCCTCTAGTGGAGAAAGTGAAGAAGGGCAGATCTCACCGAAGACACCGACCTGGCAAATAATAGAGCCCACACGTCGCGTGATGGGATAGCGCTGTAAAGTCTCGGCTTTCTAGCTTTAGGCTTGTAATGGAACGTTAAAGAGGGAAAGGGATTCAGAAAACACATAGAAAAGCGCTCTCGCCCTGCCCAGTGCGGTTCAGTTGGTTGAGCATCATCATCTGCACTGAGAGATGGCTGGTTTGATCCCCCCTCGGCACAAGCCAGGGTTGCGGACTCCATTCCCAGTAGGGGGCGTGCAAAAAGCAGCCGATGGATGTTTCTTTCTCCCGCTTCCTCCCTCTGTCTCTAAAATCAGTAAAGACATTTTTAAAAAGAAAAAGAAAGAAAAGCGCTCTCACAGGGCGTAATTTGCCGAGAATCTAGTGGAGCTTAAGTTTCAGAGCATCCTTGACTCCATGGGCTTAATAAAATAGCTGTTCTATGCCACCAACTTTGGAGTCTCATAGATAACTGAAACAGTGTTCTTTCTACAAATCAATAAACAATAAAAGACCAAAATAAACATAAAAATCGGCAAAAGTAAGCTCTGGCCGGTTTGGTTCAGTGGTTAAAGCGTCGGCCTGCGGTCCAGAGTAACCCGGGTTCGGTTCCCGCTAAAGGCACATATCTTGGTTGCAGTTTGTCCCCGGCCCTGGTTGGCCCTGCGGGTGGCAGCCACTCGATGAGTACCTTTTCACATCGATGTTTATCTCTCTCTCTTCCTCTCTCTCCCTCCTACTATCTGAACAAAAGATGAAAAAATGTCCTTGGGTGAGGATAAAAAAAAAAATTTTTTTTTAATGGGCAAAGGGTATAAACAGGCAATTCACTAAGAGAAAAACCCAAAGGGCCAATAAACATATGAAAAAATTCTCACTAGTAATTAGAAAAATGCAAATTGAAACATTGGTATACCATTTCACACAAGATTGGCGAAAGCAAAAGGTCTGACTACTCCAGTATTGGTGAGGAAGTGGAAAAACAAGAAATAATGCACTATTGGTGTGATGGAAAATTAGCATGAACACTTTGGATAGCAATTTCAACTAGCAAAGTTGAAATGAATATACCCTCATAACTTACAGTCATATATTTTAATGCATATGTATGAAGATATATGCCTAAGGCTGTTCGTTGCAGCATTTTAAAAAATAAATAATTAGAAACATGGTATATTTATGCCATGCATTCTCAAAAGGGGCAATATTACCCCTAAAGGGGTAAAAATTTACTCTTAGAGGTGCCAAAAATCTTAGATGAGGTTTGTGATAGTGACCCTCCAAAACTCAATCCTATCCAACAAAAATCTTATTTCTTTGCACTTAATTTCTCTTGTTGGAATAAATTAAAATTGTAATTCGTTTAAGAACTTGTAATTATATTTGCTCCTTTAGGGAGATAATAAAAGAAGGGTTGAGACACAGATTTATGCAGTAAAAACGATATAGCTGCTACAACAAAATTAACGGATTTATCAACATGGACACATCTTGAACACAATGTGAATGAAAACAAATTACATATCATTACATGCAATATGGTGCAATTTATATAAATACAAAATAACACCCAGAAGAATAATATATACTATTAATAAAAATAGCAAAGATTTTTTTTATCCTTACCCGAGGACATTTTTCCATTTTTTGTTCAGATAGAGTGTGAGGGAGAGGGAGAGAGAAAAAAAAACACATCGATGTGAAAGGGATACATCGAGTGGTTGCCACCCGCACGACCCAACCAGGGCTGGGGACAAACTGCAACGGAGGTATGTGCCCTTAGTGAGAACCAAACCCGGGTCTCTCTGGACCGCAGGCCGACGCTCTAATCACTGAGCCAAACCGGCCAGGGCAACAGCAAAGGTTTTTGGTTTAATCCTCACCTGAGGACATTTTTTTATTTTTTGTTCAGATAGAGTGGGAGGGAGAGAGAGGAAAAAAGAGAGAGAGAAACATCAATGTGAAAGGGACACATCGAGTGGCTGCCACCCGCATGACCCAACCAGGGCCAGGGACAAACTGCAACCGAGGCACATGCCCTTAGTGGGAACTGAACCCGGGTCTCTCTGGACCGCAGGTGGATTCTCTAACCATTGAGCCAAACCAGCCAGGGCAACAGCAAAGGTTTTTAAAAACTAGGACTGTATAAATATTAAATTCATGACAACTGATACCTCTGAGGAGGATGGGAGGGGAAATGAGATTAGGAAGTGTCAACAAATTTATAATGTCCTATTTTTATGAGAAATTATTTAAAGCAAAAATTATGAAATCTTAAAATTTGTTAATTCTAAGCAATGGGCACTTGGGGCATTTATTATTATTCTCTGTGTTTTTATATTTTTCCCCCAAAACTTTTCAAATTGAAACAAAATAAAAATTTTAATATTACAAAACTTTCTATTTGTTTTAGGTATGTGTTAAGTGCTTCTGTTTTGAGTGGGTCTGTGTTCATTAAATCCAATTTAGAAAGATAGAATATGAATGGGTGAAGTAGGCAGGGTTTGCTTGTAAAAGAGATTAAAAACAAACAAAAAAAACAAAACCCTGCCTGCCTCCTGGTCCTAAACATAACTGAGTTTACCTGGCCCAGAAACCCTCTGTTCTCAGGACCCTACAGACCTTCTCCCTTTCTCCTCTCCTGCCCCAATACAGAAGAGGGAAATTCGTAGTGTGGTAAAGGTCCTTCTCCTTTCTTATCTAGCCAAGACACTATGCTCATGCCCTTGAATACTTTGCCAAGGAAGCAAAATGCTTGGCAGGCGTTATTTGTTCACCAACTCTAACTTACTTGCCACATTTTCAATAAGCATAAAGCCAATTAACTGCTTGATGGGGGGGGGGGGGTGGATAGAAGAAAAACAAAGGAAAATGTCTTAATTGTGACTTAAGGCAACCAATCGTAGCTGCCACATTTGGAGTGCCTGCTGTGTGACAGGCACTGTACCCTAGATCCTTTTACAATGTTGTGATATTTAAACTCACGAGATACCTAAATTGCACCTTGTCTCTCCATGCCCCTTTATTTTTCCACATCACTGCCTACCCTTAAGTTCCTATTCTACCCACTAATACCTAGCTTAATTATATATAAGCTGCCTCTCAGGAGAGCCTGGCACTTGATTTTCAGAAAGCAGAGGAATATTCTTAGGAAGTGGCTCAAAGAAATTGTTCCTATAAGGACAATAGCTATCACCCAGTCAACTCTGAAAATCTTCAGTGGGTATATGTCTAACCTAAAGTTAGGGGACCACATGTAGGGTGACCAACCATCCATTTTCCTGGACTGAGGGGTTTCTCAGGAGGTGGGACTTTCAGTGCTAAACCTGGACAGTCGCCCTGGCCAGTTTGGCTCAGCGGTTAGAGCGTCGGCCTGCAGTCTGGAGAGACCTGGGTTCGGTTCCCGCTAAGGGCACATACCTCGGTTGCAATTTGTTCCCGGCCCTGGTTGGGTCGTGTGGGTGGCAACCACTCAATGTGTCCCTTTCACATTGATGTTTCTCTCTCCCTCTCTACCCCTCCCACTCTATCTGAACAAAAAATATCGAAAAATGTCCTCCAGTAAGGATAAAAAAAATAAAAAAATAAAACCTGGACAGTCAAACCAGGATGATTGCTATCCCTAAACCTGGGACAGAGAAAAGGTTGTAGGGTGGAGACTTAGGTAGGGAAGATGGCAGGAGAAGAGAAAGCTAAGTAACTTCCATCCACAGAAATGAATTTGAAGGAAAATTCTGTTGGGTTTCCAAATTCAAAGAATGTGGATGCAGCTAATGACCAAAAAGCAAAACTAAAAGACCTTAGCAAGATCTCTTAAGCTTTGTGCTCAGTTGGTATGGCTCAGTGAATTGAGCATCCTCCCATGCACCAAGAGGTCACCAGTTCGATTCCTGTCAGGACACATGCCCCAAGTTGCAAGATTAACCCCTATTAGGGGGTGCGCAGGAGGCAGCTGTTCTCTCATGAATTTTTTTTTTTAATCCTCACCTGAGGATATTTTTACATTTATCTTCAGACAGAGTGGGAGGAAGAGAGAGAGAGAGAGAGACATCGATGTGAGAGAGACACATCGATTGCCATCCACACGACCCCTACTGGGGCCAGGGACAAACTGCAATGGAGGTACATGCCCTTGGCCAGAATCAAACACAGGCCTCTTTGATCTGCAGGCCGACACTCTAACTGCTGAGCCAAATCAGCCAGGGCTTATTTATTTTTTCTTTATTGATTTGAGAGAGAGAGGAAGGGGGAGAGAGAGAGAGATAGAAACATCAATGAGAGAGAACATCTATTAGCTACCTTTGCATGCCCCCCACTGGGGATTTGGCCCACAACCTGGGCATGTGCCCTGACCAGGAATTGAACCAGTGACCTCTTGGTGCATGGATTGACGCTCAACCACTGAGCCACTGGCCAGGCTCTCATGGATGTCTCTATCTCTCCCTTTCCGTTCCTTTTTATTTATTTATTCATTTATTCATTCATTCATTCATTTTTTATCCTCACCTGAGGACTTTTTTTTCATTTTTGTTCAGGTAGAGTGGGAGGGAGAGAGAGGATGAGAGAGAGAGAAAGAGAAACATCCATGTGAAAGAGAAACATCCATGAGAGAGAGAGAAAGAGAAACATCCATGAAAGGGACACATTGAGTGTCTGCCTCACACGACCCCAACCAGGGCCAGGGACGAATCGCAACCGAGGTACCTGCCCTTCGCTA